ACTAGTTTTAAGGCCCAACACAGGTACTTGCAGGCCCAGACCAACACATATTTGCATGATCCAGGCACCCCCCCCCCCTCCATTTTTCTTCTAGATTCGCCACTGCTACCAACCCCTTGCTTTGGTACCATGTCGGTGAATTTGGGACATTTAGTGACAAGTCCATGGTGGTGATGTAAACAAGAGAACACGCGAAGACCTCCTTGTCTGACATGGATGGCAACAAATCCTAGCAGCCGGAATAGCTCTCGGTGTCGCGCCCCACGGCAACATCGCCTCCTACGATATGTACATGGTGGCTTGGTGCTTGCAAGAAGAGGAGGGGTGGATCGAGAATGGGAGATGCGATGTGGGAGAACTGACACTCCCAGTGGTCCTTGAGTGATTGAAACCCCATGAGCTTCTTCGGTTAGCAAATGGAATAGGTGCACTTATTACAAGCATTCACGATATTCGGTTGATTTTATAATTTTCCCTTATCAATCTACAAAATGTAGACCACCTTGTAATAGTTAATCCATCTTGTGCAAACAAATGTTTACTGTCTCAGTTGATTGCTTTTAAATGATTTGCATGTTTCTGAACCAATGTTTAACATGTTGTAATTACTTGTTCATCTTGTGCGCAAAACTGTAGTATTTATTCTCTTACAAAAAATGAATCTTACATGAATTCCAATGTCAGATTGACAATATTTGGCATCGAATGTGAAATCAGAAATTATAAATCAACTACTATTTAGCAAAATAGAAATATCATATATTGTTGGTTCTTCTTGTTTGCGAGGAATGCCGGGCTCTATGTTCTCGAAATACAAATTGCATGGGCATTCCTTCACCACAAATTAGTTCCACTACTTTACCAGTGGAGCGGGCTGAGATGGTTGGCTCATGGGGCTTTTCTAAACCTTGTGAGTTTAGTATAGTTCATTCAGTTTCCTTTTTTTTAGGGGACACATTTCCTTTTCTAAACATGGAGGAATGCCGAGATGCAAAAGTTGAAGACTAAGATAACGACTTTCGAGGATCTAGCCATCTAATGTAACTCCAGATTCCACCACGACTTTCTGTTGTTCATGTTTGTTCTTAGTTTCTTGTATCAGTCATAGTTTTTGTAGTGAATTAATAAGGCCAGGTTGATTACTAAAAAAGATAACCAATGGAGCAATTAAACCGACACTTGTTGTGTGATTGTTGGTTTTTAAAATGTCATAATGGTTTTTAAAAGCAAGAAGCGCCCCAGGTTTTGGTCCTATTGTTCTATGCGATGAGTGTCATAATGGTTTTTAAAAGCAAGAAGATGCCCACAATTTTTGTTGGCGTCAACCAGCTCCGGACGGAGCCGAAGGTGGGGGGCTACATGAGGAGCAAAGTGATGAATGTCGATTTCGGACAAGGCCAAAGGTGGGAGCGACGTCAGGAGTGAAGCGATGAGCGTCGAGGCTGAAGCTGCGAGCGACATGAGGAGCGAAGTGATGAGCGTCGACCTTTGTAAGGCCGATCCAAGACCTTGCCTGATACGGGGATGACTGTGAGCAGTTGTGAGCTGCGACGTCCTAGGCGGAGGCGACGAAGCGGGTTGGCGGGTGTGGGTTGGGAGGTGCGGGGGTCATCAGTGTTTCATGTTCATCGGCGGGGCTTAGATGGATGGTCGCGGAGGCGGCAAGCAACGTTGGTGGGAAGGGCGAGGCAACGCATGGCAACGCCCACCGAGCAGAGGGGTGGGGATGGGGCGGGGGTGGAGACATGCGGTTGGGGCAGGGCAGGTGGGCGGTTGCAAGGGGCGTGGGCCTTATCTGTTCGTGCGAGAGAAAGAAACGGTTGCGGTTAAAGACAACCATCCCGGTTGTTCATTGAGCATCCAATGGCTTAGATATTTGACCGACGGCAAAACAAAATTATGTACCTAAAGTATGTGCGGTATGTCGGTCTAATTAATCGGACAACTCTCTTTTATTTAAGTGATAGAGCGAGAGGAGGTCCTTGACTGTCACAAAAAGGGTTAACATATTTGAACTCCGGTAAAAGGGAAAAAAATTGTGTCTCCTCCTTGACAACCTAACAAATGCTTCGTTGACACACCAGTTTATTGTTCAATGTTATGCAGTGAATATATAAATCTTACGGATGGCAAGTTCCGATTTCAGAGAATAGGACCACTTGGAAAAAAGCACAATGCACATACAACCACGATGGCATAAACCTTTGGCGAGCTAGGCAGCCATGGTGAAATTGAAGTTGCTGCACGTCGTCTGCCTGCCCCAGAGCAGCGAGCTGAAGCCGAGCCGCTGATTCTCCTCCTCGAACACCAGCAGGTTGTTCTCCATCTGGAACCCCCCGATCACCGCCGCCGGCGACCCGCCCTGCTTGTCCACCTCCCCCTGCTTCATCTCCACGAAGGCGAGGCACGCCGTGTCGTCGCTCACCTGCACCATGGAGTTGCCGCCGAACACCGTCCAGTTCCTGCCGCCCTCCAGCATCAGGTCGATCTGAGGCACGGCGTAGCCCAGCCGCGTCGACCCCAGCTCCGTCGAGTTATAGCACAGCTCGAACGGTACCACCGCCGGTGTGATCCTCGCCCTGCCCGCCGTGGCCGTATCGAACGCCTTGATGAACGCACGGTACACGTCGGGCCGGAGCGCCGTGTACGGGGTCGTGGAGCACAGCCCGAGGACCAGCGGTGAGCCGTATCCATTGTCGAGCTGCAGCGGCGCCTGGTTCACGGCGATGCCCTTGTCGGCCGAGATGTAGTACCCGGGGGACTCGCCGTGCTTTCGCAGCGGCGTGTAGCCGGCCAGGGACGCGTTGACATCCGGCCGGCCCGGCGGGAGGAGGAAGAGCGGGCCCCCGCCGAAGATGGCCACGCCGGCGCCGGAGCCGGCGCTGGGAAGGCAGAGCGCGAACTTGTTACCGACCCTCTGCGTGTCCGCGACCTGCGCCGGGAGCGCGACGCCCGAGCGCGCGAGCCCCGCGACGCCGGCCGCCCCCGCCGGCAGCTTGGCCAGGAGCAACGCCGGCGCGCAGGATGCCACGGCGGTGAACGACACCTCATACAGAGGGTTCTTCCCGTCGGTGGCGTTGGCGGAGAGCGTGACGCGCGTCACGTCCCCCGACGCGGTGTAGCCGGAGACGGGGTTGTGCGGGTGCGCGGTGCACTTGCAGAGGTTGCGGGCGTCGTGCTCGCCGTAGCCGGTCTGCGGGCAGTTGGGCGGCTGGAACCGGTGCGCGCGCGTGCAGGCCTCGCTGCTGCAGTCGAGCGTGTCATGGGAGGGCCCGTCGCAGGTGGTCCAGACCATGGGGCCGGAGAGGTCGAGGACGAGCGGGCGGGTGTCCCGGAGCGGCGCGGTGTAGAGCGAGGTGGCCGCGTCCTTGGTGATCGCGGTGACCAGCGGCATGCCGCCGTCGTCGCCCGCCGCCACCGTGCGCGCTAGCCCGCAGAGCGAGGCGACCGTGAGGAGGAGGAGACAGTGGAGGGGTTCGGGTTGCCGCATTTCGGCTGCCGTTGGTGCGAGCAGGTCAGGTTGCGAGCGAGGATGCTAGATTTGCAAAGCTCATATATGGTGGTGGCGGCCGGCCGATGCAGGCATACGTGTGAGATGATGTTTGCTCGAGGATTCTGACCTGCTAGTGTTTTCTAAGTTATCATCACCAGTCATCCGGGCACGACGTCGAGGCGCCATCCAAGAATATTGCGTTGACTATAGAGATTAATTAGAGATCGGTGGTGTCGGTGATGATTTTTCTTTTGTGATGAAGCAATGGAAGATCAGCGCGTACATGCTCTCCACCAAGTTCTTGGTCTTATTACCACTTTTTTTTGGGAAGTGTTTACGCCCGATGCGCCGGCGGAACGCTCAGGCCGGTCGCTTTCGCCTCGCTGGCGCTAGCCACCAGGAAGGCAACACGTGTACCTTATCCTCTCCCCAACGCCTCCGTCCACTCCTTCCTCGTGATTGCCCAGGCAGGAAACTCTAAGAATCCAGGCCGACCATTAGCTCCTGCCTCCTGTGCTTTTCGTGCGCCCCTCGGGGGCAACACTGCTGCGCCGTTTCCATGGCTGCGCTCATCGCCGTGGCCGCGCCGCCGCCTGATGGCCGCGCGTGAGAGAAGCTGCAACCGGCAGCGCAAAATGCTACAACCGATGACCCAAATAGCTTCAACCGGCAACATAAAAAGTTCCAAAAGACAAACAGAGATGTTGGTCGCCGGCGCACTCCCGCAACAAAAGCTGCAACCGGTGGCCTGAAAAGCTACAACAGCGACGGAAAGCTTCAACCGAAAATACAAAGAAAATGATCGCCCGGGCACCGAGGACAAAAAAGCTACATCCATTAAATTGAAGAGTTTCAACTGTTGAATTGAAAAGCTTCATCCCACATTAAAGAAAGCTTTAACCGGCTTCATATAAAGATTCAACCAGCGAGCACATGACAAAAAGCTGCAACCGTTGACATGCAAAGCTTCAAACCTAATTTTGAAAAGCTTCAACCATTTTTTTGATGCATCCGGCTACTGTGATTTTTTGTTGCAAACGGCGGCAGAAAAGCTACAACCGGTGCTAAAATAGACGACCGGAGACGGCTATGATCGACGGCGGCGGGAGGCGAGCCGGTGGTGCGGCGGCGAGGCGAGGGGGCTGCGACCTTAAGATGAGTACGATAGATCAAGGACAGCAACGGGAGACGCGTGCGGCCGGCGAGTCGAAGAATACAGTGAGATGCAAAGGGGATTTCTTCTACGCCAGTGTGTTGACGAAGACGAGGGCCATCAAACGGTTCTCAGCGACAAAATCGAACGGCTGCGGGCGGACTGGCCCAAATTTGGGCCGGTGTGCCGGCGCAGATCAGTCGCCTTTTTTTTCTGGAATTGTACCCCATCAATTCAAAAATCAATGAGTTTTTTTTGTGAAAAAACAGTTTTGGGGGCAACAAGT